TATCCCCCCTCCCCTCTTTTTATTCCCCCCCTTCTCTTTTTATTCCCCCCCTCCCCTCTATTCTCCCCCCTCCTCCCTCTCTTTTTATCCCCCCTCTTCTTATTCCCCCCCTCTTCTTATCCCCCCTCCCCTCATCTTATCCCCCCTCCCCTCATCTTATCCCCCCTCCCCTCTTTTTATTCCCCCCCTCTTCTCTTTTTATTCCCCCCTCCCCTCTATTCTCTCCCCCTCCTCCCTCTCTTCTTATCCCCCCTCCCCTCTTCTTATTCCCCTCTTCTTATCCCCCCTCCCTTCTTTTTATTCCCCCCCTCCCCTCTATTCCCCTCCCCTCTTCTTACCCCCTCCCCTGTAGCGTGGCCGAGCTGCACTCCGGTCCGCGGTGGCCGGCCGGCCGGAGTGATAGGAAGGTGCACACTCAGTGTGCACCTGCCTATCACTCCGGCCGGCCACCGCGGACCGGAGTGCAGCTCGGCCACGCTACAGGGGAGAAGCTGCAGCCGCCTGAGGCTCTTAACAGAGCGCTCGGGCGGCTGCAGTATTTAAAGGGCCGGCCCGTCGCGGCCGGCCTTACAGGAATTTAGGGCGGCCGGGGGGGCAATTGCCTCCCTGCCCCCCGGCCCAGCCCGCCCCTGGCCACACTCCACTCTCACCTCCACTTCTGCTACTTTCCCACCATGTCTATTTGCTGTCTCTCTCTATACCCTTCCTATTGTGTTTTTATACCCCACCTCCTCTAGACTATAAGCTCGTTTGAGCTGGTTCCTCAACTACCTATTGTTCCTGTTACATTTAGTTATTGTCTCATTTGGTAAATTCCCCTTTTATTGTAAAGCGCTGCAGAATAAGATGGCGCTATATAAATACCAATAATAATAATACTCATATACCATGCAAGAATATACCATGCAAGAATATACCATGCAAGAAAATATATTGTTTATTTTAATTAATTTTTTTAGAAAATCAGGTATTGTGGAGAACAGTCAAGGAACTACACATTTCAGCCAAAAAGAACTGAACTGGAACAATTCTTTCACACAACTATTTTTTTTCAATTCAGCTATTTTTGACTAAAATTTTTCATTTTCTTGCCAATTCTCTACTATTACTTGCTTAGCGAATAAAACCCTATTGTGAAAAACATTATTTTCAATACTGGGTATGAATTGCATTGTCTTAGGTTTTTGGTAGTTTGTATCAAAATGGGCTTCATACTTTTAAATAATGTCAAAGATGATCATTTTTGGTGGCTGAAATAAAAAAAAAAGTAAGAAAAAAATAAATAAAAAGATACTCACATCTGAAGCTCCGAGTCCTGACTATACTGACTCTGCCAGTGTCCTCCTCCATTTTACAATAGTACACTGTATGACAGTAACATGTTGCAATGCAAAACGTTTAAGGATGCACAGGATTACTCTGGAGCTTTTCACTGTGAGTAAGCCCCTTTGTCTCTGGCTGCTTGCCTCTCTAGACGCTGCTCCCTTGGTTGGTTATGATGTAGATGCTCTTATCAGATGAGTAGGTAATCCCAGGAACTTGAATGCGAGTATGATTGGCTATATGGAGGTGTGTAAGTAATAGAGAAAAGTGATGTTGGTTGGAAAGTAATAGTAAAATTCTAAGTGTCAAGGAGTGTTTCTTGTGTCCAAAAGAGTTTGAGAGTTGAGAGTTAGTCCCAGAGTGTCCTGAATATCTGTCCTGGATCTCTCTGAATGTCCGAACCTGAATGCCCAAACTCCCCTCTCTTCCATTTGTCCTAACTTTTAAAGGGCCAGACTCTATGTACGTCATTAGTTGATAAGGCCAATAGGAAACTGTAGGTGTGTCTACGTTATCTAGTATTATCTAGTTTTTGGTCAATAGAGGGCGCAATTGCCGCATCAAAATTGTATGTCCTCGAAAGAGTTAACTTATTTTGATGACGATTCTGACATCATTTGGCTTATCTAAAATGACTACCATAACTTAAATTTGCTGTCAGTTCAAAGCGTTTCTTTGGATTTTCTCCAGACAGTGCGTTGACAATTCCTGTTGTGATTTCTAAAATTGACAATTCTAAACTCAATTTCACCCCTTACTTACAATGGGACCTTGTAAAATTTAGAAAGTAAAATTAATTACTGAGTCTTCTCTGTCACTAGTGTCTGTGTTTAAAATTATTTCTGTTCCATTAACATTTAAAAAGAGCATTCCATCCCCCTGCTTCATTGCTTATCACTTGGCTTGTTTCCCTAGCTCGGGCTAGTGGCTAGTTACAGAAAGGAAAGAAATTGTGTGTCTGTCTTGCCTGAAGATAGCAAAATGGAGTCTGCTTTGTTCTGAGTGACTCTGGCAATATACACTTTTAATTTATATCTTAGCACAAAATGTCTGCCGATATAAAAATCCTGACAGATTCAACCTGTATCCAGGTTATTATCAAGTCTCCAGTGTTCCCTATGTATCACAGTGTCCCCTATGTATCACCATATCTCAGTGCACAATGTCTTCCAGTGTCCCCTCGTGTCTCAAAGTCACCCAGTGTCCCCATGTCTTCCCCAGTGTCTCCATGTCTCCCAGTGTCCCAATGTGTCCTAGTTTCTCAGTGTCCTAGTTTCTCAGTGACCCATGTCTCACTGTGTCCCAATGTCAAGGATATAATTGATATGTATGTAAACAGGTTGTTGATCCAGGAGCTTGCTAGGGTAATATGGGATGCACTGACGCCAGTTTGATGGCAGTGAAGCCAGCAAGTTTATGTCAGCATAGGCAATGGCCATGCTTAGGAAAGTGACTCCAAGCAGGGCCAATTGCTTCACACACAACCAAACCGCATATACAAGCACACTCAGCAAACCACACACATACACACAATCACACTCTGCCAACTCCACACAGATTCACACTCAGACAACATCTGCGCAATCACATTTAGCCACTGCACATTTATGTGTATTGCTTAGGAGGAGCAAGGAGGGGTGGTAAGGGGGGTCCTTCCTTGATTCTTGCACTGTGGCCTTGTGATTCCTAGTTATGCCCTCTGTGTGAAAAGAGATTTGAATGTCTCTTTTTATTTGGAAAGGGAATTATGGCGTGTGTGTATGTGTTGAATGGGAATTGTGGTGATCTTTAGTGATTTGTGTATGTGTGCACAAAGGGAAAATGGTGGCGATTGGAAGACATTCTTAGTTTTCTGATATGTTCTTTTCTTAGTTTCCTTCTGATGTGTTCTGTTCCAAGTCTCCTTAAAACAGTCAATTGTGTGTTTGTTTTGTGTTTGTTAGGGTGGTGAATTAGTAAAGTGAGTTTTCAAAGTGGATTAGTGGTATGCATATTGGATTTGAATATCTAAATTATTCCATATTTATCTGTAAAATATTTTCCCAATTTTTTTCCTGGCATGTCCATATGTATTCTACTTGTAGTCCTGATAATTGATAAAATGTTTTGAACAGAATTCAGGGTCAGACACACTGAGCCAAAGAATACTGTTCAACCATGGTAGGAGTTGATATGATAACGTGGGCATTTGAACTTCCACATATTTTGTACTAGGTGGTTAATTAACAAAAAGCCAAAAACACACTTACAAACGCAGAGCTTCACAATCCGCACTAAGTAAACAGTTTTTGTCACGTAACCACCTAATACAAGATATATTACAATATTGATATCCTGCTTTTTTCTTTATATGTTTTTATGTTCATGTTATCCACTCTAATCAGACTGTGATCTGCTCTTTACCTGTAAACACCCTGCATGCTTACTCATCTGTAACATCCGTGACAAGGTTTATATTGTCACACAAGGTTGATTTTGAGCTAGTTGGTAGGTCTTTACTTGTAAGTATATTTCCATTTTTTCATAATAACACACAATTTTCTGTAAATATTACACTATTAGAGGCCTATATTGTATATATTTTTTAATACATTTTTCATCTGCTGACCTGTTGATGATATCAGACTGTTACCGAATTATCCATCCTACAAAGACTTTTTTTATCATAAGGACCGATTTGGGACTATTAAGAACATTCAGGCAATATACTTTTTAGAATTATACTTAATTCTTTCATAAAGTGTCAGATGTGTATGTTCTCCAGTTACCACTAGGGGCAACCTTTATTTCTGTATTTTATTGTGTAAGATATAGTTTAACCCCGGTCTCAGCGATGATCCCTCTCTGAGATGGCAGACCCACACCTTTGGTGGTATGTCATGGCTTTTGGTAGGCTCAGGGCAAGATGTGCTGTCACACAAAGTCTCAACATAATAGTGAGACTAAGCCCCAGCTGGAATGTGTTTATGGTATTTTAAGGCGATGCAGGGCTAATTATGAGGTGTCTCCCTGTTAATTTGAGTGGAAATATTCAGGCTTCAGATAACTTTCCGAACTGATACCGTTATGAACCATGAGGTGTAGTGCAGGTTAACCATTAGTGTTACTGAACAGTCACTACCCCTTCGTATGCTGAAAATTATTTGGGGCATTTTGGTGAGGAATCATTCTGACCCAAATAAGTTCCAAATTAAAGACCTTTTGAAGCAATCCAAAAGAAGCCCAAATATCTTTAAGAGCTATAAAGATGATATGATATCGATAAATCCAAATAAATTTCCTAATCAATCTTATATTAATTCCTTTACCACCAATTTCTTTTTATTTAACAGAACTTTGCATAGTGTTTATTTAAAAAAAAAAAAAAATCGGATGAGTAACTGACACATAATATTAAACGGCTGTTTTATGTTATAGATTTCTAACTCGTCTAACTGTGAACCCATTGAAACAGCCTTTGGCTATTTTCCTTTCAGAGATTATTGCTCACTCACCTGAAAAGGCACTGAACATTCCAAAATGATTTTGACGAAAGAAAGATGTAGAATTTAAAAATATTTAATTTTATAGTAATTTCAAATTAATGACAGATATATAACCACACATAATCAGAAATGTGTCAATCATCAAACACATCTCAAAAAGTAACGTTTTTTGTATTTTTTTTGTCTATATTTTTAAATCCAGGACTTTCTGATTTTGGATATTTTAGCTAAGTTACTATGCTTAATGTCAGGGCTTTTCCTTGAGGTAGAATCTTTATTGTCATCATTCGTGAAGGAAATAGCAGCCGGCTGGGTTGGCACATAACTAATTTTCTCCTTTGATAGACTTGAGGATGTCTTAAGGACAAACCGTTCCTGTATAGTGTCCTTTAAGTGTATAAGTAGGCTATTCTGCTCAGGGTGCAAAACCATTGTTTTCTTCTTGTTCTTAAACTCACAACAGGTGTAGCACGCAGCTGTTAAAATCCGAAAAACATAGAACCAGCCCAGGTAGTGCAACTCAACAATGTTCAAAATAAAGCATCCAATTCCAACTCCAAACATGAAGTTGAGAAACACAGTCTTCTCTGTAGCTCTTGAAACAAAACAATCAGTTGTGGTTGGGCAGGGGTAGGTCTGACACCGAAAGAGGTGAGGAACCTCAAAGCCATAAAGATAATATTGACCCACCAAGAATCCCATCTCCATAATAGACCTTAAAACCACATGTACAATGTATATTATATGCATCTTGTCAAAGATGGGGATAGGACCATGGATACTATCATGAATGAGTTTGGGTCTAAACCGATCGCCTTTTGTAGAACGGTCCTTCATTTCCACTTTTTCCTCAGCATCCACATTCATGGTTTTCTTCTGTAGGTGTTCACCAATAGATAAGCTTTGGAGGAGCTCCATTACATAGGCTCTTTCTAGTTCAGTTTTCTCATCTTTGGCAATTTTATGCAACACATAAATAATATAAAATATGGAAGGCGTTGACACCAGGACAATCTGAAAAATCCAGAATCTAAGATGAGAGACTGGAGCAAAGCTGTCATAGCATACATTGTTGCAACCTGGTTGAAGAGTATTACAGGTAAATTTAGACTGTTCATCACCGTACATTGCATCTCCTACTAATGTTACCAAAAGAATTCGGAAAATGAGAAGCATTGTAAGCCAGATTTTTCCAATCACAGTAGAATGGTTCTGGACTTCTGTTAAAAGGCGCCCCAAGATCGACCAGTCACCCATGTTTAAACCTAGTGTCAGAAAAATATAAAAAGGGATACAATTTTACATACAAAGCATTCTACAGCACTTAATAAAGACAAGACACAATATTAAAATAACTTGTGACAATTCAGGTTTAAAAATACTAATCTCATAAGGGGACAGGATCTTGCTTGTAAGAATTAATTAGGAAACAGGAATCATTAACACGTTGCTCTCTCTCGCTAATCTAGACTGATATAATATATTTTGGGATACAGACTGGGGCTGCACTTTTCAAATAGAACTCATGGTGCCGGTCAAATCGATCAGCATAATGCTGAAATTAAAAATATCTGTATAAACATAAAACATTTCTAGACTCGTTGGAGAGAGAACTTACACTGGTGCAGTGTTAACTTTTTTAGTCATCTGAATTGTTTTAGTTTTAGTCTAGTTTTAGTCGACTAAATCTCGAAAATTAAAAAAAAAAAACACTTGCCTTGGTGCCCTCCCCTCCAATCCGACACAGCTGCACTTCTGTACAATTTATATGGTGTGTGTAAGACACCAGTGAACTGTATGGTTTAATAGCTGGAAGGCAGTTTAATCTTAAAGAACAGGGTGTTAAACTCATTGCCTCTGTTGAGTTTTGTTTTATATTGTCTCCTGCATTATACACCCACTGATCTTTTTTTTTTTTAAATTTGACAATTTTTATTTTGTTCAACATAATGTTCAATGAGAACTGGGTGATGGGGAGGGGATACAGAAGAAAGAAGAGGGGTGGGGAGAGGGGGAAGGTAAGCATCAATCGAGCATTTCCAACTAGCCGTCACACCAAGACGTTACATAGTTATGTATTTACATATATGTTCAACCAGCTTTGTTATTTTCCTATCTGCAAGTCTATGTAATAATACCTTTGTAGGTTTCTATTGACCTCGCTGTGCTTAGTTGAGTGTCTGCTATCCCTAGACTTGGCCGCTCATAATGTCTCCCACTCAGATGCTCTGTGTCATATGGGGGGAGTGTGGTAGACAGCTGTTATGGCGGGTGCTTTCGTCTCCAGCTCTCCCATCTCTCCCATGTAGCCAATGTTGTTATATTGGGAGAGCATACCGTATGGAATTGTCTCTCGTATATGTTTTGGGTATCCATTTCTGCCAGTACTAGTTCTAAAGGCGGAGTGGTGCGAGATTTCCATGCCCTTGCGATTACTCGTTGGGCTGTGAGTAGAAGGTGGTAAATGAGTTTCTTTATATATTGGGGTGTCTTTGGGGGGAGCGCAAGCAGGAGATACGTGCTAGGCTCATACTTCGGCTCTTCTAGGGTGATTCCTTTGAGTACCTCCTGGATGGCTTTCCAAAAGGGTTGTATCAATGGACAGTTCCACCAGACATGTAGTGTTGTGCCAATATGTTTGGTACACCTCCAGCATTCTGGAGAGCTGGATGGGTAAAGTTTGTGTAACTTTTCAGGTACCAGGTACCACCTGTACACTAGCTTCATATGTTGCTCTATAAGCGTCGCTGATTTTATCAGTTTCCTGGGGGAGGTCACTAGGTCTTCCCACTGTTGTCTGGTGAGGTCTGTGGCCAATTCTCCCTCTCATTGTGTTGCCGGTGAGGCTGTTGCTAGTGGTGTGTAATCTAATATCATTTTATAACAGGATGACAGTGGTCTATATGTCTTCGGGAGTCTGTGTTTGATGCATATGTCCTCCCAGAGGGTGCGTAAGGGCGGGCCTGGGCTGTGCTTAGTGAGATCCTTTGTGTTGTGTTTATGTAGGAAGGATGCCAATTGTCTGTATGAAAAGTGTGAGGAGGTCGGAATGTTATGTGTTTGTTGTAGTGTGTTGAAGTCTGTGAGCGCGTTGCCCGTGTGGGCATGTGCTAAGGTTGTGATGCCTCTTTCTTGCCATGGAGCTGCATGGAATGTGGGTATGCAGTATGTTAGGGCACGTATTGGCGTGGCTTGTGAGACACAGGGGTTCGAGCTCAGTTTGTTCCTGTGCGTGTCCCAGACTTTTAGGAGTAAAGTGATCTGTGCAGGGATATCTATCATTGGTGGCCTCAGTGTCCTGGGGAGCCATAACACATGTGAGAGTTCGTACGGTTCCATCAGGTGTTGTTCCAGTGTCACCCACTGGGGGGGTGTTTGGTCTAGCAAGTGTGGCAACACTGATGCCAGTATGGAGGCATGGTAGTAGGCACGTATGTCTGGTACTGCTAGGCCACCTGCTTTCAGCGGTGCTGTCAGCAGTTTCCGCGCTACTCGCGGTTTCTTTCCGTTCCATATAAATGCATTGATGTCTTTTTGAATTGCTTTGAATTACATTTGGGGAACCTCTATGGGCAGCGTTCTAAAAATATATTGTAACCTGGGAAGTATAGACATTTTCAGTGCAGTCACCCGTTCAGTCCATGTAAGGAATAGGGGCCCCCACAGTTTGAGGGTTGCCTTACACTCGTTCCACACTCTAATGTGGTTCACCGTTACTAAGTCTTTGGTTTGTTTGGTGATATGAAGCCCCAGATATGTTATAAAGTCTTTCCTCCAGTCAAAGTCATACTTGATGCGTAGCGATTGGATTAGGGAGGAGGGAAGGTTTATCCCCATGGCTTGGGTTTTCGAGGAGTTTAGGGAGTTGTATGATAGGTGGCCGTATGCTTGTATTGCCTGCATTATGTGTGTTAATGAGTCTTGGGGTCTAGTTATATAGAGTAAGATATCGTCTGCAAAGGCGCTGATTTTATATTCGGTGTTCTTTACCTTAATGCCCGTAATCTCTGGGTGAGCCCTGATATTACGGAGTAGGGGTTCAAGTGCACATATAGGAGAGGGGAGAGCGGGCATCCCTGTCTCGTCCCGTTCGTGATGTCAAAGGGTTCAGATTTGAACCCTGATTGAAGGACCTGCGCTGTCGGGCCGGAGTAGAGAGCGAATATTTGATTTATCGTGGTCAGTGGGAATCCATATGCTCTCAGGGTTCGGTCTAGGAAGGGCCAGCTGAGGCGATCAAACGCCTTTTCGGCGTCTAGGGCTAGTAACAGTCCTCCTTCCCTGCTTCTCCGTAGGCCCTCTAGTAGCAGCATCAATTTTCTAGTATTGTCTAGTCCCTGTCTACCCGTCACGAACCCGGTCTGGTCTTCTCCTATGAGGTTAGGTAGTATGTCACTGATTCTGTTAGCTAATATTTTCGCGTATATTTTGGCGTCAGTATTGAGCAGTGAGATTGGATGGTAGTTTTGGCATTTGTCTGGTGTTTTCCCCGGCTTAGGGAGTGTGACGATAGTGGCTAATAGCATCTCTGGTGGCAAAGTCCCTGAATTCGCGGTAGCCTGGTACACTTTAAGTAGGTGTGGGGCAAGTTCTGTGGCGAATAATTTATAGTAGGCATTAGTGAGGCCATCTGCCCCTGGAGATTTGCCATGAGGGAGACCCGCTATCACCTTTAGGATTTCCTGTAGTTCTATGGGTTTAGTCAGATTCATTTTTTGGATTTGAGATATCTGGGGGAGATTGGTTTGTCTCAGATATTCGTCTATGTCTGCGTGGCTCGCTGTGTATGTGGTGTCTTGTGATTGTAGGTTGTATAGTTTGGAGTAGAAGTCGGCAAATTCTTTGCTGATGTCTGCTGGCGAGTGACGTGGTTTGCCGTCTGCCCCTGTGATTTGTGCAATTTTCGTGTTGGCGTATCTGGCTCTTAGTCTGTTGGCCAAGTTTTTGTTGGCTTTACCTCCATTATGGTAGACATTGGCTTTCAGTTTATAGAGTAAATTTTTTGTTTTTTCTGTGTTTAGTTCATTTAGTCTCGTGTGCAATTGTTGTAGTTGTGTCGCTAGTGTTGGGGAGGGTTGTTGTTTGTTTTGTTTGGATACTATTGCCAATTGTTTTTGACAGTCTAGGAGAGTGGTTTGGTGGTGCCGTTTCAGGAAGGATGCCCTTCTAATGAATATCCCTCTCATGACTGCTTTGTGTGCTGCCCATACCATGGTGTCAGAGACTCCTTCCCCCACATTGGTAGTAAAATAGTTCCGAAGTGCCTCCCTACTCTCTTTCGCAAAGGTTGAGTTCAGCAGCAATGAGTCATTCAGGCGCCATGTTCCCCTCCCCTTGAATTGGTAGGCGTCTAGGAGGTCTAGATACACCGGTCCGTGGTCTGACCATGTTATTTCCCCTATTGTACATTCTCTGAGTTGTGCTAGAAGTGGCCTATCTAGGAGGACCGTGTCTATGCGTGTATAGTTATTATGGACCCTTGAATGGAAGGTGTAGTCTCTGTCTTCGGGGTGTAGTGTTCTCCACGCGTCATACAAGTCATAACGGTCTATCAGCTTAGTGAAAAGTTTGCTAGTGGAGACCATCCTTTTTTTACTATTACCCGTGAGGGTGGCTGTTGTGTCTAGGGTGGGCGACTGGATGCAATTAAAGTCCCCGCATAATATTACGCCACCCTGCTTAATCTTGTCTGTTAGTTTGAGTAACTTTTGTAGGTACTGCCCCTGTTTCTCATTGGGGAAGTATGTGGCTACCAGCGTAAGTTGGACGTTGTTAAACTGGCCTACTAGTATGACATATCTGCCGTTCGGGTCTATACACTGTTGCTGTATGGTAGTTGCTACATCTTTGTGTATGAGGACTGTCACCCCTCTTGCTTTCGTGGCAGCTTGGGAGTGGAACTGAGTGGGGTATGTCTTCATATATATTGCCGGGGTGTGGTCATCCCTAAAGTGTGTTTCCTGGATACATGCTATATCAACCCTGTGTGTCGTGAGGTCCTTAAGCAGTAGCCTCCTTTTACCAGGGGTGTTTAATCCTTTTACGTTGTATGAGACTAATTTCATAGTGGTATATTGAGTGGTTTCTGGATCTACTCTTGGTCGTCACTATGGTGAGCTTCAGTTTGCTTGCTTTCGGTTCAGTGTGGCTATAGGGCGGTGGTTGGTTTCTGTTGATGCTATATGGGACATGGGGGTACGGGGCATCAGAAGGTGGGGGAAACTTAGGGGGTGTAAAACAAACAGTTAGACAGTACGTCTTAAAGAACGTCTCCATAAGGAGCTGAGATGTGCCGGGGGGGTCCCGGTCACATTTGTTGGGGGGTGGGTGTATGAGCCCGGCCGTAATCCGGTGCCTCATTCGTGGCTACAGCATTGGGGCCGCAGCGTTGCATTGCTAGCATAATGAGCGCCTATCTGGGTTTAGCTCCCTGGCATTTCAAGATGGGGGCCTTAGAGTGTAGCGCCTGTGTCCCAAAAGATCTTGTTAACTAGCCCCTGCATCTATAACATTGTATGCATATAACTAATAGTACAGGATATAATAACCGAAGGGTAAACATAATGTAATACATTGGTTAATTTAAACTCACACTTTCGCTGTCGTATAAGTTTAGCAGTATAACCATGGGTTATCCGCCGCCCGTCTCCTTACGGAGGCAAGAGAAGGCTGCATTGTTTATGTGATTGACCAGTCTCTGGTCACCCTGGGGGTTTTGTCATGGGGTTGTTTCATCTCGTCCCGGACTTGTATACCCCAGTCCTTGAGCTTAATAAGCCCCATTTCTGGATTAATTACCACATGCATTTTCCCTTCACGGTGGATCAGTAGTTTGGCCGGGTACCCCCATCTGTAGGCGATGTTCTTCTCTCGCAGGGTGGCGGTGATCTGGGCCAGGCTTTTCCTGAACTGTAACGTTTCTGCTGATAGGTCTGCAAAAATTTTGATGTGTCCATAAGGGTCCGGCATACCTGCTGTTCTGCCCGCTTTCACTATCTGCTCCTTCATGTGGAAAAAGTGTATGCGTGCGATGACATCCCTTTCTGTGGAAGGCGGTAGGTGTTGCGGCCGTCTGAGGCGGTGCGCCCTATCCACCACCATCTGGTCTGGGTGTATTGCTGGGGCGAGCGCTTGGAACATGTCCTGGAGGTAGTCGCCTAGGCCTGCCTGCAGCACTGTTTCAGGGATGCCTCTTATCCGGATGTTGTTTCTCCGGGAGCGGTCTTCCAGGTCCGCCACTTTTGCTTTAAGATTTTGCAGGTTAGTTTCGTAGTCTTGCACTTTTTCAGCTAAATAGTTGTGAGCGTCTGTACAGTCGTCCAGTTTCTGCTCTATTTGAGCCGTGCGCTGGCCTATGTCTGCAACATCCTTCCTCAACTCTGCTGCCAGGCTTTGGAGCTGTTTTCATAGTAGCCTGGAAGTTTTCAGCCAATTCTGCCAGCATGAGCCTCATTGAGGTTGTGGTGAGGGGCTGCTCCTCTGTTAGTGAGGTGGTGGATGTCGCTGGTGAGATGGATCCCTCGCGGGAGCGGTCTCCGCCGCCATCTTGGACGGGACCGCCGGCTTCCCGCGGTTTTTTTGCGGCCGATCTGGCTAGGAAGAAGGTTGCTCTTTCAGCTTTGGCAGCTTTCTGCCTCTGCCTGTGGGACATTGCAGGTCTGGAAGTACCTTTAGGCAGTGCTTTGCGGTCCGTTTATATGTGCTGTGTCCCCAAAACTGCAGGAGCCTCACATGCGTGCGTCCATGCCGATCGAGCGCCAAGCCACGCCCCCCCACCCACTGATCTTTTAATGATCTTACCTGTTCAAAATACCTGTACCCAGTGGTGTACATACCGCGGTCGCAGCTGCGACCGGGCCTGTCACTCCAGGGGGCCTGGCCACCCTGCGGATCCCTTTGACCGGGTACCCTCCGCCATCTTTTGCCGCCCCGGCCAGCGCGGCAAGCCACCGGGGCCGCTGTCCAAGGGGTCCATTGGGTGGCCCATGCTGTTAGGACCACCCGATAGAGATGGATTGTCAGGGGGCCTGGTCAGTGCTGCGGGCTGCTGAGACACTTTAACAGCGCGACTGGGCCCCCTGTGATGAAATCACACGCTGGGAGGAAGTGACTGCCCCGGTCACTCCATCCAGCAATCACACAGAGTGAAGCGTGGGAGGAAGCAGAGAAGGGAGTCAGAGTGGGAACTCTGACTCCCATCAACCTGAGTCACCACTGGACCCCAGGGAAAGTCACCCTCCTGCACCTAAAAGGTAGGAAACAGGAGGGTGACTTAAACATTTTGTGTGTGTGTTTGTATGTGTGTATGTGTCTTTCTATGTGTGTGTGTGTGTGTTTTTGTGTATGTGTGCCTGTCTGTTTGTATGTATGTGTGTCTTGTGTATGTGTGTGTTTCTGTGTCTATGTGTGTGTCTGTCTGTGTACGTGTCTGTGTGCATGTGTGTGTGTCTGTCTGTCTGTATGTATGTATGTGTGTATGTGTGCCTGTCTGTTTGTGTGTATGTGTCTTTGTATGTATGTGTGTCTATGTGTGTATGTGTCTGTCTGTATGTATGTATGTGTGCCTGTCTGTTTGTATGTATGTGTCTGTGTATGTTTGTGTGTCTGTCTGTGTGTGTCAGTCTGTATGTATGTGTCTGAGTGTGTGTCTGTCTGTCTGTATGTGTGTGTGCGCCTGTCTGTTTGTATGTATATGTGTCTTGTGTGTTTGTCTCTGTGTGTATGTATGTATGTGTCTGTATGTATCTGTCTGTCTATGTGTGTCTCTATGTATGTGTGTGTATGTATGTGTGTCTGTATGTATGTGTGTGTGTGTGTGTGTCTGTTAGGTGGGGCCCACAGATCAATTTCGCACCGGAGCCCCGTGGATTGTGTGTACGCCACTGCCTGTACCATACGCTCTAATGACCCTAGTCTTTTGTAATGTAACTCCCTCAATATATATTCTATGGCATCAAGTCTCCTACTACCAGAGGAAAAAATGTGTTTTGAAGTTTTTCAAGTTAACTCCTGACTTAGTGAGGTCTTACACCTGGTGGTCTGGTGTGGGAGGCTGTCAGCAAGGAGTATGTGTATTCCCTGCTGAGTCAGACCATTCTCAGCACTCCCTTTAATCCAATGTGTCAGAATGAGTTGGCTCATCTGGATATATCTTGTTTAGCACTCTGACTCAAACCAGGGAGAACTGTGTATGGTCTAACCAAGCAGGCAATACATAGGTTACTCGCTCCCTGCAGTGGGCCGATTAGATGACCTCTTCAACCAAATATATCAGAGGCAGGCTGAATAAACACATTTATATGATAACTGCTATTTCATCTTAATGACTTTGGGCAGATACGGGTGGAATGCATCAGGAGTAGCTTCTGCCTTCCGCATAAATATTATCAGCAAAGTCAGTGCACCATATCCAATGACCCTATCATATGTGAATGTTATATATGTGGTTATTACCTTACATGGTTAGATCTACTATAATAGAATAAAAATAAACAAATGGAAAAAAAAGGAAAGAAAAGAAAATTGCTGGAAGCAACCATCTTGCTTTATAAGACTCCATCTTAAATAGCTTGGCTGTGAATATCATCAGTCACACTGAAAACTGTTTTTATTGCATACAATAAAACTGATTTGATAACAGAGGTATATAATCAGTGAACTAAGTTAGAAACCTGATCACAAGGTTCTTACATCACTGGTACAATGTGCCAGAAGAGAAAGATTGCTGTCTCCTGTGGTCTTGTTTTTTCCACATATGTGCAGCAGAAGGGTGCATTCGTATAAGAAAATGGCCAGAAACAATCAGAAAGTTGATTTGCTGATTTGTTGACTTTACAGTGTAACTTTATTGATGGTTGAGTCACATATTGTGAATTGTAAGAAAACGGAGGGCTTAAAGGGACATTCCACTTCCCAAATACAAAATAAATAAAACCACTGTTTAGTAGATATACCACAAACGAAAGCTCTTGCACATTTAATTATGAATTTTATAATGCAGGTATATCTTAAACTAGCTTGCAATATCTGCAGTTCTCTTGTCTGCTACCTCTGCGAGCCTGCCTCTTCTAACCCCACCCAGACTTTCAGTGACTGACCAATCACAGATTTCCCATCCCAATGCAGCTCAATAAGAAGTCTTTGCTATGAACAATTGCTGCCTCCTGAGTTCAGTGCAAATAAACTAACCAAACCAGGAAGTCACAGGACCTGTTGTCAGATTTAAAAGCCAGGGGGTGTAACCAGTATAATTTGCACTTGAAAATTACACTTTTTTCAAAATGAAAAAATAGGAAACACTCTTCACACATAAAGATTTACAGCAAGCTAAAGTGCTTTAGGGTTCTGGAGTGTCCCTTTAAGCAGTGAAAACAATTTAACATTATACTGTGCTATAGATGACATTCAGAAAGAGGGTCCTTAATGTCTATTACACACTTTGAAAACAACATTCAATTTTCACAAAGAATTTAATTATGGTATGTTGGAAATACTTTGCCTATATTTACCCAGGGCTTAAGATACAGATGACCGACTGGCCAGTCTTTCTAAAATTGGTTAACATGTCAGCTATTTGCAATAATATACTTTATCTATATCCAATGCTTATTGAATATACCCCTGGACAATTAAGAGCTGTAGAACATCATGTAACAAGTAATAGGTATAGTTATAGTTATAGTTATATCCTGTTCCTGTCTGTCGTCCTTACTTCCTGTTTTTCTCCCTTTGATCATAACTGCATAGTAATGTGTAATTTACAATTGAGTAGTGAATATCTTTAATTCGTAGTGCGCATGCATATTAAATGAAGTGCGTAGTTATAGTGAAATTATGGCATGATATAAGGAAAATTCCTGACGCAGGAAATCTTCACTAACATAGTATAAATCTTCACTAACATGGTATAAATCAAAATTTAATAGATCTGCTCTTTAATTATTTGAGGTGTCTTAAAGTGTAGAAGACCTACATACTTAATTGACTCTATAACCAGGGCCGTCTTTAACGCGGGGCAAACGGGGCAGCTGCCCCGGGCCCAGTTTCTCTTGGGGGGCCCGAGGCACCTGCCCCGTGGGCCCCGCTGACCCCGGCGGGCGGGTGGCCGGTCGGGCAGGAAGGCGGGCGCGCGAGGGAGCACTCACTGCTTCCTCTTCAGCTCCCTCGCGCACCTGTGATGCGGGCGGAAGATGGCGTCATCTTCGGCTCCGTATCTGCGAGGGAGCTGAAGAGGAAGCACTGAGTGCTCCCTCGCGCTTGCCCTGCCCGACCGGCCACCCACCCAGGAGCCCAGCAGCACCACTGGACCCCAGGGAATCCCCCCAGCACTCCAAAAGGTAAGGAGGCTGGGGGGATTACATTTAAAAAAAAAAATGTGTGTATGTGTGTGTTTGTGTGTTAGTGTATGTGTGTGTTTAGTGTTTGTGTGTTAGTGTTTGTGTGTTAGTGTTTGTGTGTTAGAGTATGTGTGTGTTAGTGTATGTATGTGTGTGTTTGTGTGTGTTAGTGTGTGTGTGTTAGTGTTAGTGTATGTGTGTGTTTATGTGTGTTAGTGTGTGTGTTTGTGTGTTAGTGTATGTGTGTTAGTGTGTGTGTTTGTGTATGTGTGTTAGTGTATGTGTATGTGTGTTAGTGTGTGTGTATGTGTGTTAGTGTGTATGCGTGTTAGTTTGTGTGTTTGTGTATGTGTGTGTTAGTGTATGTGTGTGAGTGTGTCAGCATGTCTGTGTGTGTGTGTCAGTATGTCTGTGTGTGTGTCAGTATGCCTGTCTGTCTGTGTGTCAGTATATATGTGTGTGTGTCAGTATGCGTATGTGTCAGTATGTCTGTCAGTGCGTCAGTATGTCTGTTAGTGCATGTGTATGCATGTGTCAGTATATCTGTCTGTGTGCCAGTATGTCTGTGTGTGTGTGTCAGTATATCAGTCTGTGTGTGTCAGTGTATGTGCCTGTGTGTGTGTGTCAGTATTTCTCAGTGTATGTGGGTGTCAGTATATCTGTCAGTGTGTGGGTGTCAGTATTTCTGTCAGTGTATGTGTGTCAGTATGTTGATCAGTGTATGTGTCTGTGTGTGTGTCAGTATGTCGGTATGTGTCTGTGTGTCAGTATGTCTGTATATGTGCCTGTGTCAGTATGTCTGTCAGTACGTCTACCAGTGTATGTGTCTGTGTGTGTGTCAATATATGTACCTGTGTCAGTGTGTCTGTCAGTGTATGTGCCTGTTTATCTGTATGTAGTCAGTGTATGTATCTGTGTATCTGCTTGTGCGTCAGAGTGTGTACCTGTGCATCTGAGCCGCAACTTTAAATTCAAATACACACCTCCAACGTCAACACTACATACAAGCACACTCCTACATTCAAAAACAAACACTACACATAAATGCACACTTGCATTCAAACTCCAGTACCACATACAAACACATTCACACAAACATACTCCATACAAACACATGCTTACATTCAAACATACTAACATGGCTCAGTGCTAAATACAACCCTGCAAGCATGGGAAATTGGTAGAGTCCCAGCTGTCAAAGCATTGTTGGAGTTGCACGACAGATGGGGTTCTACCTTTAGTCCAACCTTGCAATTGGGGGTCCCAATAAAATTCATTCTACTTTAGTACCGCCACTGCGTTGGGATGGATGCCGTGATTGCATACCAGGGAGTGAGGGGCGAGAGCGGCAGGGCACAGGGGGCCCAAGCAAACACTTGCCCAGGGTCCATTCGTTATTAAAGACGGCCCTGTCTATAACCACAGTAAAGCTTTACTGCAGATCTAGTTTGAGGTAGAAGGGACTACAATTGGTCCCTCGTTATTTAAAAATACATATAAATATAGTTAGGGGATCAGACTTTGTGTCCTTTGGCCTCATTTACTGCGTGGCTAAGCAAGATGAGGGAGTTAGGGGGAAAAAAATGCTCAACCCTTGTCACTAAGGACAATATTCAAAATATGAATCAAAATAGTTTGTAATAAAGAAATTATTAGAAATACTAACAGGGTTATTCAATAAAATGTTAATTTCAAATTTAAGGCCAAAGTAGTCAAACTCAAAGCAAAGCAGACTTGGAGAAATTTTACTGTTCGTCTACTTTGACCTTAATTATCTAATTTGCATTGAATTCCCGATAATTCTCTCTATAGTGAATAACCCTGCAAATAAACTGTTGGAAAGAGACATCTGTAGAAAAATATTGATTCTCAATGTGCTGAAAGCCTACCATGTCCGCAAGGGTTTTGGTATACCAAACTACTTTGTGAATCTTTACATGCATATATGAAATTAATATTACACACATAAATATATGTTTAAATTTCCCTCCTTCTCATTCTCTCTCTCTATTAGTTATATTAGAATTATTTACTAGAGAATTCCATTAACACACCAGCAGCTATAATAATAATAATAACAAAGTATTTAACCTGGAAAGGTCCATTCAGATTACTCTGGATTTCAAGTACATCCTGGGGATGGTACCTTAGCCCAACATCCAGGGGTTGTTACTATTACCCAATTTAATGGTACTTATGATTTGAATATATATCGAACATTCAATAATGCTCAGTTAGATGGAATCCTCTTCGTTAAGGTTGTTTGTTGAGCAGAGATTTTTGAAATATAAATACCCCTGACATGTATTCATTACTCATGTGCGCCCATTTGCACATTATTAAATGCACACTTGCAAACAGTTTCTTCTTAAATTGCTTTTCATTTTGCATGCAACATAAAAAGCATTGTGCTGCAGCCATTTTATAAACCTGAAAAATAAATCTACACACACAAAATATATATATTTTTTTTAAATGCAGAAGTAGACTTAGAAATGCCAAACACTTACCTTATTGAATAGGAGACAGAAAATAGTCCTGTAGGTGACAGTCACATCATTTAGGTAGAGGTTAGTGATGTCTGCATGGGACAGGCTCTTTCTCTGGGCCACTGTTAGAAGAATAGGCTGACAACACATATCCAAACTGTTTATCTCCAACGCTCATTGTACATCATATGAGGACAAAAAAAGGTTCAATTTACAGTGAGTGACAAAGACATATGTGAACATGGGGTCATCCCCTCTATGCAGCTATTCAGCAGCTCAGCACAACAGAATATACTAGAAAACGTGCAAAGGAGTGGAAAGCCAAGCTACCTTGTATGTGTAACTATAGGATGTTAAAAAAAATATACTGTATCAGTGAAGCAAGGTTTTTGATGATTATATTCTGAAATAAGAAAAATTGATGTATGCATACAATATGAAAACCAGTGTACAAGTTTAATAAAATAAGTAAAATCAGCTCTCTATAGGAAATCATTTTCACAGACTGGTAAACATGTGTTTAATAAAAAGTCCTGTATTAAAGCTGGACAGATGATAAAGGCATAAACAAGTAACATATATTGTAAGGGTTTATTCACTAACCTGTGAGTTGTGATGTAATTGACAGCTGGTTTGCATGACTCATTTCGCGTTGTGATGGCTAACTCTCTGGATAGCGAATGAAGCCCAAAATTTTGCTCACCTAAATAGACATTTTATTTAAAACTTATAAGCCCGAAGTGATAATGGTGGCATTTATATGTTTTATAAATTGAAAAAGGATTGCTTTCTGATGAAATAATTGTGAGTATGTTTCTAATCATTACGTTAAATTATCTGGCTGAGATGGAGTTTAGATTGCAATAATGCACTACTGTTTGTCACAGCTACGTCACTGCAGTTGTTATGGTGCTTGAAGTGTTTCTTTAAGGGCTAGCTCCTCCAGGACAATTTAACTGGGCGTCAAACAGAATTGCTGCCTGAACTTTCAGGCCCATTACAAAACCACCAGTTCACACTATCCAAGACACAGACACATGCTCACATATGCAAACACAAATACACACAGCAGACACACATTAAATCCCAAAGTACAGTTTGCACCTTCTGATTAGTTAAGATATTTCTATCAAAAAAACTGCATAGTGTTTTAGGACAAATTCTAAATGAAATACTAGTACTTTTGGATCGTTTGCTCCTCAGTTTTGGCCCCTAATCATCTCTAAGACAGTGCTGCCCAGAAAGGATCTTCCAGTCCTGAACTGACAGTAATCTTCAAGTGGATACTCATGAATCACAGACTAGAAAACGTGAGTCCCAAGAGTTTGAAGTCTTACACGGGGTCCATCAGGTGCCACTTTCCACCTCCATTAATGATCATTGAGTGCCTGAAGTTCTTGTCACTGAGCTAAGCCAAGAGGTGCAGGGATTAGTTCAGGAGAGCTAAGTGCTAAGATACAGATGGAGTGACAACTGTCAAAGTTAGTTCTGTTTTGAAATACTCTGTAAATCACATGGATTTAATTATTTTAACAAGAATCTTTATATTATTAGACTGTGAACTTCTGCCATTTACGAATGCCATCTCTCTGGGTGCCAGCACTTCAAATTATTCATCCAGGTACCAGTGTCTGTATAAACATCATGAAACCTTTGGATCATAGATAGATATTTGGTGCTGAGCATTTCCTGAGTTTTTTGGCATTTTGTGCAATTGTGGGTTTAATAAAATTGCATGCATTTTTGTGATGTGATTCCTTCTGGAAAATTTCTTCGGTGGCCTGACTTTTTACGGTGATAGGCAGTGGGCCCATTTTATTTACTATTGGTTTAAAAAAATATTATTTTTGCTTGTGTACCAAATATATTTCAGTTTTCAGTTTCCATTAGTCCAATAATAACAGGCACAGAGTATTATAATGATGCCATCACTTTTTAAAGAAAATCCAAGTGATTTAAAGAGACACTATAGTCAGCAGAACAACTATAGCTTATTGTATTTGTTCTAGTTAGTATAATCATTCCCTTCAGGCTTTTTGCTGTAAACACTGTCTTTTCAGAGAAAATGCAGTGTTTACATTACAGCCCAGTGATAATTCCACTGGCCACTGCTCAGATGGCTGCTAGAGGTGCTTCATGGGGCAGTGCTGTACAAGGAGCAACACTACCATTCAGTGTCTCCACCCTCTGCATGGAGACACTGAACTTTCTTCAAAGAGATGCATTAATTTGATTCATCTCTATGTGGAGATGCTGATTGGCCAGTGCAGTGCTTGGTTTGTGTTGGCTCTGCCCTTGATCTGCCTCCTTGATAGTGTCAGTCAATCCCATGGGGAAGCATTGTAATTGGCTTAGACCACCTCTTCTGATTATGTCAGCTGTAAGCACGCAGATCAGGGGCAGTGGCCGCAGCAGACTTGAATACAAGTAAGATTTTACTATATTTAGGGAGGCAAGGGTGGGACAGGGCTAAGGGGGTGGGGGGGGGGAATAGATGACGGTTTTAACACTATAAGGGTAGGAATACATGTTTGCATTCCTGACCCTCTAGTATTCCTTTAATCAAATGTTCCACTTGGAAACATAACTAAAGTGCACAGTGACTAACCAATGACTTACCAAGTTAAAGAGAGTACAATTATATTTCTGCCAGGAACGAAATAATGCTAACTAGAACAAGCATATATGAAAAGGCTATTACCAAGCCACCTAGACGTTACTTGATAGCATCATCCATTAGGGCTCTAAACCCTCACTACACCAACACTATGCACGCATCAAAATCCCTAGCTCACTGCATACATTGTGTTGTACTAAATTATTTTTGTATTATAGTGTGAATTGCAGTCATAATGTCTCAATTACATTTTCAGTTTTTTGATCATAATTGCGCAGACATTTTCAAAGAAATCAGAATTCCAAATTCATGGACCATTTTAACTTCAATAACACCACTAAAGTCAGAAAATGTTATAGATCTAAAAAAAAGAGCCTACAACATGATTTACATGTTAAACTAATGATGTTTACCTGCATAAGCTGAAATTGTGTGGATAACAACAAAATATATGGGGCAGTGTGTGTGTGTGGCAATGTGTGTATGGGGGGGCAGTGTATGTGTGCATGTGGCAATGTGTGTATGGGGGGGCAGTGTATGTGGGGCAATGTGTGTATGGGGGGCATTGTATGTGTGTGGGGGGCAATGTGTGTAAGGAGGGCAGTGTATGTGTGTGTGGGGCAATGTGTGTGGGGCAATGTGTGTATGGGGGCAGTGTATGTGTGTGTGGGGCAGTGTGTGTATGGGGGCAGTGTATGTGTGTATGGGGGCAGTGTGTGTGTGTGTGTGTGGGGCAGTAAGTGTATGGGGGGCAGTGTATGTGTATATGGGGGCAGTGTGTGTATGGGGGGCAGCTTATGTGTATGTGTATGTGGGGCAGGGCCGGACTGGGGGAAAAAAAAAATTAAAACACAGTGGCCCCCTGATAAGGGAACGGGGCCAGAGAGGGTGTGTTTTGTCATCACTAATGACAAGTACACCCCCCTCAATGTGATCATGTTGGTTCAATGCGCAGAGCCCTGCTGAAGAGCTTTAGCATGAGGGAAAAGGCCCTGTATTTGTTCTGCGCTGCGCAAGCAAATGTAATAACATGCTTGCGCTATGTTTGCTTTTTACTTGTCTCTGGTGTCTCCATAAGTGGGATACCAGAGGACAAAAGGGCCAGGAAAGCATATTGTGCATGTGTTTGGAGCCTGCTTGTGGGATTGCGTTTGTAGAGTGACCTGATTGTGGTGTGGCATTGTGAAAATAGGTCGATTTAATTTGTGTTTGTGGTGTAATATGTGTGGCTAGGGGCTGTAGAGAGTGTGTGTATAGGGGGCATAGTGTGTATAGGGGATGTAGCGAGTGTGTGCAAATGGGCTGTAGTGTGTGTGTATATTTGATATAGTGTGTGTAGGGGTTGTAGAGTGTGTGTTTAAATAATGTTATATGTGTTTGCTTACAAGGAATGTAGTGTGTGCATAGGGGATCCAGAGTTTGTATGTCAGGAATGAATGTAGTGTGTGTAGGTGGTGCAGTGTGTGTGTGTAGTGAATCTAGTGTGTAAAAGATCCAGAGTGTGTATAGGAGATTGTGTGTGTGTGTGTGTGTAGAGGATTCAGAGTGTATATAGGGTAAGGGATCAAGTGTGTATCTGGAGCGTAATGTGTGTAGTGGTGCAGTGTGAGGGGTGCTGTAGTGTGTATATACAAATATGTTTGGACAGATTGTGTGAAGGGTGCAGCATGTGTGTGAGGGGTGCAGTGTGTGTGTAAGAGGGGTGCTGTGTGTGTGTTCTTATCTGCCATCACATTCTATGTTTCTAATTTTCTTTGTCTGTTAACTCACTGAGGGTTATTTTATATATTATATATGTGTGTGTGTGTACGCTGTATATGTGTGAGAGTGTGCTGTGTGTGAGGGTGCTGTGTGTGTGAGGGTGCTGTGTGTGTAAAGGTGCTGTCTGTGTCTGAGGGTGATGTCTGTGTCTGAGGGTGCAGTATGTCTGAGGGTGCTGTATGTGTGAGAGTGCTGTGTGTTTGTGAGGGTGCTGTGTGTGTCTGAGGGTGCTGTGTGTGTAATAGCGCCCGCTCTGCATGGGTCGACAGTCCATGCCCATCGCAGCCCACTGGGCATTTGTCCAGTATGCCCGATGGTCAGTTTGGGCCTAATGTGGGGGCAGTGTGTGTATGGGGGGGCAGTGTGTGAATGTGTGGTGAGGAGTGTAGGGAGTTTTTTTTTTATAATATATATATTTTTAAATTTAATAAAAATAAATATACTTAATATCCCCCCTCCCTTTTTACCTTTACTGAGGGAGGAGGGGGGACATTTCCCAATCCCATATGGACCGGTGGAGAATCCCTGGTGGTCGCAGTGGTGAAAGTAGACTCTAGCCCGCAGCTCCAGGGCTAGAGTTTACTCTCGCGAGATCCGGAGCTTTGCTGTGGTAACTGCTGCAATGCTCCGTGCTCACAAGAGAAGGACCCGGAGGAGCTCCCGGGTCCTCTCTCCCTCTCCTACCGGCTGCCAGCAAAGTGCCTGCAGACCGGGGAGGGAGATCTCTGATCTCCCCTC